ATATATATATATATATATATATATAAATATATTTAATATTATTATTATGTAGTCTTTATGACCTCTTACTGGTTGAGCAACTGCATTAAATATTTGTAATAAAATTTTACATTTAAAAATACAGTAAGTCTCCATGTAGGATCATTTAAAATGAACTACTTTGCAGAAAGTTGTTTAAAATAAATAGTCACTAGTTACAGGACATACAATATACAATACAGTACAATTTCCCTTAGACATTTACATTAATTTTAACCTAAAATCTTGATTCAAAAGAGTCAACACATTTGATGTTAACTACTCCTATACAGACATTCACTCACACACATTTCTCATACTGTGCACTGTATCAACCAGGAAACACAGAAGTGAGCGTGAGCCAGTGAGAGCTGCCTGAGAGAAGGTGAGGATCTAGAAGACAAGGGGGAGGAGTGCAGGGGGCACAGGCCAACTTTCTTAGGCATGTGTGTTTGTCTATGTGCGTGTTGCCCGCTCAGGCGGTGTTACCACGCAACTGTTCAAAAACACAGCTCATAATATTTACACAGTTACATTTTTTTCCACTCAGACCTTCGAAGTACGTAGAGGAGGAATGAGAGAGAGACAGAGCGCAAGAGAAACAGAAAGAAGCAGAGAGAGACATGTAATTAGAGTGTGCTCTATGAATGAATGGATGGTTCTGTGTGTGTGTGCGTGTGCGTGTGTGTGTGTGTGTGTGTGTGTGTGTGTGCATGCATATATATATATATATAGAAATAGTTATATTTAAGAAAATATTTTAGCAGTAATTTATAATAATCTTTCATTTTTATTAATTTTTTATAATAATTTTCTCTAAAATATTTTGATAATCTTTCTATTTATTTTACAAGCTGTCTGTAATCAGTTGAGCGTGTACTTGTATTTGAGTACAGCAAAATGGTTGCGATTCCTGTGCACATCAAGTTTAGAATATATATATATATGTCTGTCTGTCTGTCTTTTAAACAAACCAATTTCAAGCAAACATTCAAAGATAGTATTGACAAACTTTGCAAATGCAATTCAAATTAAATTTGGATTTATCAGCTCAGTGGATCATACTCATAACATTATACAGACACAGAGTTTAGCACCTGCTTTTCTTCAGCTAATAGAAAAAACTGAGGAAGGATTCAAGTGGACCTCTTATGTAATATCCCACTTTATGAATAAAACTCTGTCTCTGTCGTCCTCTCTCTGTAGTTGAGGCATCAGCAGTGGAGTTTGGTCATGGAGAGTGCTGTTCCATCTGACCGGGGAAACTACACATGTGTGGTGCAGAACAAATACGGAACAATCAAACACACTTACCAACTTGATGTGCTGGGTATGAACATGCAACACACACATTCTACCTAACTTACTGTAAACTTACCTTCATCGCTGACTGGCCTCCATCTCTCGTCCAATCAGAGCGCTCTCCTCACCGGCCAATTCTACAGGCGGGACTCCCGGCCAATCAGACGGTGGTGGTGGGCAGTGACGTCGAGTTCCACTGTAAGGTGTACAGTGATGCTCAGCCACACATCCAGTGGCTCAAACACATCGAGGTGAATGGAAGTCAGTATGGGCCCAAAGGCGCCCCCTACGTCAACATCCTTAAGGTACAGTCATCTATAATGGCACATCAGAAGAATGCATGAATGAACCACTTTTGATGAACCATAATTCAAACTTCATTTTTTTTTAAACCTTTACTATGCCTTTATATTAAAATTACGATAATTATGATTTGTTACAATGACAATGATTTAAATATTTGTATTATAGTTTACTTTTCTCAGAGAATACAAAGATTTAATAATTTTTTTATTGAAACTTCTATTATGAAAACATTTTTACTTTGTGCTTGTTAGAAAGGACCTTCATAGATGTTGAAGGCATTTTTTTTTTTAAATGTGTCCAAGTGCAGCTTAAATTAAACCACATATTAAGTCTCATGTGAGTTTTGAGTGACTCTTGGAGCACCTCCCTCAACTCCTAATCCCACCCATGTTAGCATCTCACTATAGACTCTGCAACTGGAGAACATTGAAACTTCTATTATGAAAACATTTTTACTTTGTGCTTGTTAGAAAGGACCTTCATAGATGTTGAAGGCATTTTTTTTTAAAAATGTGTCCAAGTGCAGCTTAAATTAAACCACATATTAAGTCTCATGTGAGTTTTGAGTGACTCTTGGAGCACCTCCCTCAACTCCTAATCCCACCCATGTTAGCATCTCACTATAGACTCTGCAACTGGAGAATTGGGGGTATCTCACTCTCTTTTTCCTCTCAGAGGAGTGAGAGAGGAGGCAGACATCTGTTTTAGGCTAAGCTAACCGCCGCGGTGGCGTCGCACAGGGAGACAGCCATTAGCTGTGCTACCCCACTCACTCTTCAGAGGAGAAGAAGGGAGGGAACAAGGGAAGAGGCTCCCAAAAAACCCATGGAAAAAATGAGTGTGGGAAGCGAGGGAAGGGCCGAGTCAGCAGGCAGAGGAGGGGAGTGCGTCGGCTGGCCAGACCGCCACGCTATTTTAGACTCCCACATAATTGAAACAGTATTTTACTGGGAGCCGCGCGCCGGCTTTTCCCTTCCCCACACAGTCTCATCTGCGCACCCTCTAAAGCCTTCCCCAGACCAAGAGTGCTGAGCGACAGATCATGTGTGGCACAATGCCTGCGATCAAGGAAAAGAACGGAAACTGAGAATAAAGCAAATGAAGCGTCTGAAAGAAACACAGAAACAGAAATGTGTGGATAAAGGGGCTGAAGACAATATTTGAGCATTTAATTATAACATATAGTGTCGTCAGAGCGATGGCTTAGCAGTTAGTGTGTTGAGCTGTGGTGCCAATGCAGGTGGAATGAGTTTGAATCCAGTTCGTAACATTTCCCAAGCTCGTTCCTGTTCTTATCTTGTAATTTTTAGTTTTTAAATACCACATATAAATCTTCATGGGTTGCATTTTGTATCCGCTGATAGTGTTGTGTATGTGCATGCGCTGTCTGTGTTGGTTTAGTTCCCTGATTACAAGGAATTGTGCAAATCTGTTAACAGCGCAACATCTTGCTGCTTTCATTCAGTGATAATAGAGTAACATAAATTGTTCTAAGTTTTGTGAATAAGCCACAATCTATAAGAAGCCTGATTTATATGAAAGGAGATGTTTGCACTGAAAAGAATGACTTATGAAATATTAATGAAGCACCATTCAGAAACGAATTATTTCGATTTCGACTGAATTTTGATTCAGTTTGTGCATTTGAATTGAGGTAGCAAACAGGGAGTATAATTGAAAATTTAATTTGACATTAAGTAAAATAAAATTAAAAAAGTCAAAGAAATTAATATAACCCCCACCCCCAATTGATATAACATTAATATAACTGGATTTTGGGAGGTTACCAGGTTTTTGCACTAAAATACCATAGTGGCACAACTGTTTTGTGAATTTGCCCCTAAGTGTATCAGCATCGTAAAAAAGTGGTAACAAGTGGTAACAAGCTGTGTGAACAGTTTAAATCATTAAGTGTTTGTTCATGTGTGAACGTGTTCGGCTCTGACTAAGTGCGTGTGTGTGTCTCTGCAGAGTTTTGTCAGTAAGGTAAAAGAGGCCCACGATACGCTGACTCTGTATAATGTGTCAGAAAAAGATGCAGGCCAGTACTGCTGCAGAGCCCACAACTTTGTAGGCATGTCAGAGAATACGTTCTGGCTCATGGTGTCCCAGCCAGGTAAAAATCTTTCTCCAAACAGCTGATGTCAATTATGACTTTGGTGGCGTAGAATCAAACTCCCCTAAACTCTCTCTATTTCTCCCTGCTCCTCTTGTCCTGTTTTCACACATTAAATAAGGTGACCTGATTCGAGGACTTGTTATGTAAGGCAAGTGTGTGTCTGCTTCATTTAAATGCTCACTTCTTCTTCAACAATCAATGCAACAAGGGCATGTTTAATAGGAGCCGAGGCTGTGCCACATACACATTCTTATTGATTTTCTCATACACTACACACAGCTCTCTTGAGTATTGGAAGACATAAAAAGGTGTCAGTTTTATCTAGTGAGCGGTTAAATTAGGATTAAAGCTGGTAATATTCTTCCACGCTCTTTTTTATGTTTTCTTTGCACCTCAAACAGATCTGGATGAAACAAAAGTGACCTGCTGCTGCTGATGGGTTGTTACATTTTCCACCAGGGTTTGGGTTTTAATTTGCTTCTAGGTCATCTCTTCATTCATAGGAGTGTGGGATTTCTGGGTTACTGGTGATGGGTTAACTCAACTTCGCTTGTTCAGATCTTCCTCCCGGTGTTGGGTGCTGTTCCTTTCTCAAGGGTTGTGGTTTATGTGTCTGTCTTTCTCTCTCTCTCCATCTCTCCTTGCTTTTCTAGACTGCGGGAATAAATACTACGGATAAAGAGCTGGAGATTCTCTACCTGACCAATGTGTCTTTTGAGGATGCGGGGCAATACACTTGTCTGGCAGGGAACTCGATTGGCTTTAACCATCACTCTGCCTGGCTTACAGTGTTACCAGGTGTGCAAGTCTCACTTTCTGGGGTTTCTTTTCACTCCTTTCTTCCCATGTCTCTACACTTCATATTTTCTCTAGTGTCCTTGAATGTTTTATTCATAGTTTTGCAGTTAAAATGTTTTTGAAATGTTTTCAATCATATCCTCTATGGACGTTAGTCAGGGCAGACGGCAGCCTCGTTTTTATTCACGTCAAATTAAATATGCCACCCTGACTAAAGTCCTCTAAAAACAACCTGGTAGTTTGTAATTGTTTTCAGATTCAAACATAACATACACAGAGAAAAAAGACGGATGATGAGTTTTTGTCATAGACTGTTTCCACTCGAGAACACACACACTCGTGATGGAAGTGCTTGTCGTGTTTACTGGAGTATTTACTGATGGCACACAGTCCCAGTATCTGGGAGGCCCGATTCATTAATTCTGCACTCATCCTGTTATCCTGCTCTCCGTTCTGCTGCTGTAATTAAAATCGCTCGTCTCGTGTAGAGACACTGAACTGTGGGGCTCATCACACAAGTGCCAAATAAGCCTCCCGGAGAGAGGGGCATTATGGGATGTTTGTACCTGCATGGGTGTGCGATAGCATGTTAATTAGTTTGAAAGGTGGCTGTAAATTAACTGCATGCTTTCTGCTTTATAAATTTGAACAAAGAACAATAACTAATGATTGACTTAACATGATCTCTAATCTAACCATTAGTGGGGCTTGTTTCTAAAGCCACTCTGTTTTTAAGTGAAAGTCTCTAGGCTGTAGTTAGTAGCCAATTTATGTTGGGTTTCATGTTTTATTCAAGTTGATAAACTGAATTTTGTGGTTATGTGTATTAGAAACAAACAGGGTTCAAAATGAACCTTTTGCCACATAGGTGGATGAACTGAGAAAATTTGCTGTCCATAAATATTTCTAATCGCCCCTCAGCAGATGTTGTTCCTCTGATTTTATATTCCACATGTGTGTTGCCACATTTAGTTCTAGAGATAAGTCTTTTAGGCAAATTTTGCACTGAGGAATAGTTGTTTGAAGATGGTTTGTATGTCTTTGAATCATTGCTTACATCAGTGAGGATCAGACATTATCACAATTTGATTTATGCTACATATTATGTTGCAGTTCCCAGTAAAAAAAAATATATTTTCTCATCAAAGCAAAGCTCAGCAAATTTTACTTGCATTTGGCACTCGGACCCTGACAATAGACAACACTAATAGAAAAATTAGACATTTTAAAACATTTTAATCGATCGAGAAGTAGGTTCTTCTTTTGAATAAGTACTTATTTTGCTGCCGTTTAAAAAGTAGGTTCTAAATAGTATAAAGGTGTGTTGTTTGAATGTAATTCAGACGTACTACCACTCACAACAGTCAGTGTTTCATCTATAGTATAACGCATTGGCACATTTGTCTCATAATGTCATCATTGCACATCTAACCTGTGCTCTTGTGCTCTTTGTCAGCGGTGGAGATGGAGAGAGAGGATGACTATGCGGACATCCTCATCTACGTGACAGGCTGCGTGCTCTTCATCCTCACCATGGTCATCATTATTCTCTGCCGAATGCGGATGAACACGCAGAAGACTCTCCCCATGCCACCCGTTCAAAAACTGTCCAAATTCCCCCTCAAGAGACAGGTAACAGAAAGTAGATACAAGATTTGATCAGCCTATTTCCTATTTTCTCTCTCTCTCTCTGTATCTCCTCTTTTGCACACTTAACGTAAAGCTCTTTGGGCTATTCGTGTCTATGAAGATGTAGTTTGTGCATGTCAAATGTGATGTGGCAGGGGGATATTCATGCTCTCCTGGAGACTGTCAGTGTTTATATCATGTTTCTCTCCTGGTGAAATTCTCAGTTGTTTTAAACATTTTAAATCACAGCAGCTGCAGCTGACACACACTGTCTCTCTAATCTCTGCCGCTCTCCCAATCTCTTCTTCTTTTCCCCTCAAGTTATTTCCAGCAATCAAAGTCTGACAATGTCACACTGGAATCAACTCAAGCTACATAATCATGTTGCAGTGTTTTTCTTTTTCTTTTATTCAAATAGTGTGTGTGTGTAGGTGTGTATTTTGAGCTAGTTCTTATTTTAGAAAATATTGAGATATCAATGTCAGACAGTTTGATCTTCCTGCTGCTGACATACTTTCTCAGTGTCTCATGAAAGTCTACAAAGATTTGCATTTCCTGAAAGGAAATAGCAGTGCTTGCAAGGAACTAAAAGAATAGTGCTCAAGTTATAGGCCAACATGTCATTGTCATGGCATTCAGCGCACGTTGTGTGTTGATTCTTGTGCAAAGACAGTTATGGATGGCTAAAAAGATGCTAATCAATGCCAGAAAGAAACCAATCACAGTTTGGGATGAAATTTTTACATTATGATGATGCCATTGCTGTTAGTGGGATTTAGAATTTTTAACTTTATATGCGCGTCAAATGCAAGAATGAAAAAAGAGAGCCAGTTGGGCTGCTGGCTCCCAAGCACCTTTTTGAATACAAGACAACAGCGAAAATTCAGATCATAGCTCTGTGTGCACGGTGGTCTTCTGTGGTCCATTGTGTGGAGATCTGACAGCTACAAACCTCTCTCTCTCAGAAACAATCCTCTGAGGAACAAACATAATGTTTCTGTCTGCAACAAAACACTTCAGAGTAGTATCTTCTTAAAATAGATATCTTGATCCTTCCACTCTTTCTGTCTCGCTCTTACACTGTCTTATTCTCTTTCAGGGACAATAACATGCTGTTTTTATTCTTTACCCAAGCAGGTGTCCTTGGAATCTAACTCTTCCATGAATTCAAACACCCCGTTGGTCCGGATCGCACGCCTGTCATCCAGCGACTGGCCCATGCTGCCCAATGTTTCTGAGCTTGAACTGCCCTCTGACCCCAAGTGGGAGTTTCCACGTACAAAGTGAGTTACAAGCTGAAGTGAACATCAAATGACCATAATAATCAGACAGTTTTAGTAAACCAAGTTGTGTGAGTTTTGTCCCTTGCTGAATGATGATTCTGTTGCAGACTAACACTGGGAAAACCGTTGGGAGAGGGTTGCTTTGGGCAGGTAGTGATGGCAGAAGCCATTGGGATCGACAAAGAGAAACCCAACAAACCTCTCACTGTTGCTGTCAAGATGCTCAAAGGTGAGTGTGTGTCCAGATGGTATAAATTATACTCCCAAGCACCTTTTTGAATACAAGACAACAGCGAAAATTCAGATCATAGCTCTGTGTGCACGGTGGTCTTCTGTGGTCCATTGTGTGGAGATCTGACAGCTACAAACCTCTCTCTCTCAGAAACAATCCTCTGAGGAACAAACATAATGTTTCTGTCTGCAACAAAACACTTCAGAGTAGTATCTTCTTAAAATAGATATCTTGATCCTTCCACTCTTTCTGTCTCGATCTTACACTGTCTTATTCTCTTTCAGGGACAATAACATGCTGTTTTTATTCTTTACCCAAGCAGGTGTCCTTGGAATCTAACTCTTCCATGAATTCAAACACCCCGTTGGTCCGGATCGCACGCCTGTCATCCAGCGACTGGCCCATGCTGCCCAACGTTTCTGAGCTTGAACTGCCCTCTGACCCCAAGTGGGAGTTTCCACGTACAAAGTGAGTTACAAGCTGAAGTGAACATTAAATGACCATAATAATCAGACAGTTTTAGTAAACCAAGTTGTGTGAGTTTTGTCCCTTGCTGAATGATGATTCTGTTGCAGACTAACACTGGGAAAACCGTTGGGAGAGGGTTGCTTTGGGCAGGTAGTGATGGCAGAAGCCATTGGGATCGACAAAGAGAAACCCAACAAACCTCTCACTGTTGCTGTCAAGATGCTCAAAGGTGAGTGTGTGTCCAGATGGTATAAATTATATTTGTTTTTTACTGCATAAGAAATCAGTCAACTGACTTAACTCATGAATGAGTCAAAAAACATCACTCCCAGATCACAAAAAAATCTCATTAATACAGTGGGTGTGCTTAATTTTAATTAAATAAAAAGATTTCTGTTTCAGATAAATGTTGTTCTTTTTAACTTTCTATTCATCAAATAATCTTAAAAAAGGGGAAAAAAGTATTTCCACAAAAATATTAAGCAACACAACTGTTTTCAACATGGATAATAATAGCATCAATTCAGCATATCAGAATGATTTCTGAAGGATCACGTGGCACTAAAGACTGGAGTAATGATGCTGAAAATTCAGCTTTGCCATCAAAGGAATAAATTACATTTTAAAATATATATTAAAATAGAAAACAGTTATTTTAAATTGTAATAATATTTTACAATATTACTGTTTTCTTAGATGACGGCACAGATAAGGACCTATCAGACCTTGTGTCTGAAATGGAGATGATGAAGATGATTGGAAAACACAAGAACATCATCAACTTGCTAGGAGCATGCACACAAAATGGTCAGTACACACACACACACACACACACAGATACAAGATAAGATCCCGGCTTTGATGTTTAGCTTTTTTCTTTTTTCTTTTAGTTTACAATTTTCTTACTGAAATAGTTCTGACTATGTTCACACAGGTCCTCTGTATGTGCTGGTGGAATATGCCTCTAAAGGAAATCTTAGGGAATACTTGCGGGCGAGAAGGCCTCCTGGGATGGACTACTCATTTGACACTTGCAAAATCCCAAATGAAACTCTGACATTTAAAGATCTGGTGTCCTGTGCCTATCAGGTCGCCAGGGGTATGGAGTACTTGGCCTCAAAGAAGGTAACACATCTACTTATCTTAGTTTGTAAACTTTTTCAAATAGAAATAATTTAAGAAGCTTGTAATGTTTATAAAGTTTATAAATGCTGTCTATGGATGCCAGTTATTATTTTCCAGATGTGTATGTCATAGTGTGTATTTATCAGACTTGAGCAAAAAAGATGGCCCTCTTTCTGTTTGTGTTGCCAGTGTATCCATAGGGATCTTGCGGCCCGGAATGTTCTGGTAACCGAGGACAACGTGATGAAGATTGCAGACTTCGGCCTGGCTAGAGATGTGCACAACATTGACTACTACAAGAAGACCACCAACGTAAGTCGACACTATTATCAATCTCAGAATGCTTGAAGGATAGCACTCTTGGGTGGCATTGAATTGAAATACAGCGGATGTGGTTACACACTGTATTTCAAATGTCAAGCCTCCAGGTGTTGAATTTTGTGTGTGCCTCGTTTAGGAACTTTTGAAGGTGCGTGTATGAGCAACTTGTCATAAATGAATGAACTGTTGATTGAGGTCTGGAGTTGGTAATAAGAATATTGTGGTTATTGGCGAGGACTGGGCGGTATTGAACACATCACAGTTTACCTGGCCTGCTGGACATTGTGAAATACAGTATTGGGGAGTAACTAGCATAAACTATGGGTAACATGACATTAGCTTAGATATGTGGGGAAAAAACACTTGTTTTCCAACATGTAGCACTGTGACATTTTAGCAAGTTCATTCATTGTGATGAACTGGTTAAAAAATGATTCACAGATTAATTTGAATCAGCACTTTTTGTGAAGGCAGAACTCATTCTGAGCTCATTCTTGTGTATTTTTTGTAGCAGAATATAAATTTAATTGAAAATAGTGACTTGGCTATTTTCTGTTACGTAATCGGAAAATTATAGGCAATGCTGAGTAGATTACTTGCAAGTTGTAGTCCAGTACTGATTACAACTTACATAACAAAAAATTTAGTTAGTAATGTAATCTGTTTACAGATTACTCATTTTGCATAATGTATTCTGACTACTGTTTGATTACTTTTAGACTTTTTTTTTTTGTTCAGACCTGAGAACCATTAAATAAAACAAAGACACATCTTTCTGTTATTTTGCTGACTGCACTCAACAATAAACATACAGCATGACTAGTGTAGTCTAATTCACAAAGAGTATATAAATGTGTGTATATATATTTCTGTCAGGACCACTATCGTCAAAGATGATTGACAATTAGCATACAGTTTGGATTGGCGGTATGGTTCTGTTCTGGGCAAGAACTCCCTGCGCATCATGAGAGCAGGGAGAGCAGCAATACCCCCCCCCCCCCCCCCCCCCCCCCCACCCACCTAACTTACTAAATAATTAAGATTAATAAAAGTGTTAATTTCTTTTTTTTTTTTTTATAATGTTACTGACCCCAAACTTTTGAACGGTAGTGTGTGTGTCTGTGTTTGCACAGCAGGTTTTGTTTAGTATGTTAGTATACTGCACACTGTCTCTCAGTTGACCGAACACCCATTCATCAGACTCAGACTGGTACCCGGAGCTGCACTTTCCAATATGTCTAAATACTCTTCAATCACAGTTGGCCTGAGACAGCAGTAAAAAAAAATTATATAATTTGCCTCTGCCTATAGGCTGTACTTATGCTATGAAATATGAGCAGTGGGCCCTTCATTCACTCGATCTGCTCTGTATGTGTGTGTATGTGTGTGAGTTTGCGTGAGCACCACGCTGATGGGCAAAAATGAGATTTGACTCCAACATAAAGCTAATGAACGGATAGTGATATAATGACGAGCCAGTTATTCAGCCATAATAAGGCTACTAACTGACTGTGTGTGTGTGTGTGTGTGTGTGTGCTGCCGGTGAACATTTTACTGACCCCAAACTTTTGAACGGTAGTGTGTGTGTGTGTCTGTGTTTGCACAGCAGGTTTTGTTTAGTATGTTAGTATACTGCACACTGTCTCTCAGTTGACCGAACACCCATTCATCAGACTCAGACTGGTACCCGGAGCTGCACTTTCCAATATGTCTAAATACTCTTCAATCACAGTTGGCCTGAGACAGCAGTAAAAAAAAATTATATAATTTGCCTCTGCCTATAGGCTGTACTTATGCTATGAAATATGAGCAGTGGGCCCTTCATTCACTCGATCTGCTCTGTATGTGTGTATGTGTGTGAGTTTGCGTGAGCACCACGCTGATGGGCAAAAATGAGATTTGACTCCAACATAAAGCTAATGAACGGATAGTGATATAATGACGAGCCAGTTATTCAGCCATAATAAGGCTACTATATGTGTGTGTGTGTGTGTGTGTGTGTGTGTTCGGCCGGGTAGCATTAGCTGGCTCATAGCTCCTGTTGTCTCTTACCGTGGCTAATTTGATTAGCACTGCTCAGTGGTGGCGTGGGAGGAATGGGGCCAAAACAAAAGAGCTGAGTTAACAGAGCAGCTTGTGATAACACTCACCCACATACACATATGTGTGTACACACACACACACACACTTGCTCTAGTTTAATAAGACTCACGGTTCATATCACCAACATACATTATAAGTCTCAGTGAGAACCAACATAACTCCTCTCTCACATCTGCCAAGTATCTACACCCCAGAGAGAGACAGGCAGACAGACAGATAGTGAGAGTATTGTTACTCCACTATTTCAAGCACATCCACCATATATAGTGGCCTAGCAAGTGTTTAGACCAGGGGTGCCCAAACTCGGTCCTGGAGGGCCGGTGTCCTGAAGAGTTTAGCTCCAACCCCAATTAAACACATCTGAACCAGCTAATCAAGCTCTTAGGCATACTAGAAACTTGAAGGCAGGTGTGTTGAGGCAAGTTGGAGCTAAACTTTGCAGGACACCGGCCCTCCAGGACCGAGTTTGGGTACCCCTGCTTTAGACCATTGGTCTCAAACTCAATTCCTGGAGGGCCACAGCTCTGCACAGTTTAGCTCCAACCCTAATCAAGCACACCTGATCCAGCTAATCAAGCTCTTCAGGATCACTAGAAACTTCCAAGCAGGTGTGATTTGGAGCTGGTTGGAGCTAAACTCTGCAGAGCTGTGGCCCTCCAGGAATTGAGTTTGAGACCACTGGTTTAGACACTTAATTTGTCATTGAATTTGACTTATGTTTTGTACTGTACTATAAATGTGTGATTGCTCTGAACTGTGACCTCTCTTGCATCTCAGGTGGTCTTACGGAGTGTTGTTGTGGGAGATTTTCACACTGGGCGGCTCACCATACCCAGGTATCCCAGTGGAGGAGCTCTTTAAACTGCTGAAGGAGGGTCATCGGATGGACAAACCTGCCAACTGCACTCATGAACTGTACGCTTTTGATTTACTTGCCTTTCATCTAAGAAACTCTTAAAACCTTTTTAGTGTGAAAAAAATAAAAAATAAAACTCCATGGTTTAATGTATGGTATTATATATATATGTGTGTGTGTGTATATATATATACAAGAACGTGACTGCTTTTTAAAAGTCGGAATCTCGTAATTAGAACAATTCTGATATGACGTGGATGCACCTATTACCCATCAATATATATTTTTTTATTTCTGGCACATATTAAATGTATGTATTGTTTTGTGTTGTGATGTGATTTGTGCAGGTACATGATTATGAGGGAGTGTTGGCACGCTGTTCCTTCACAAAGACCCACGTTCAGACAGCTGGTGGAGGATCACGACAGGGTTCTTTCCATGACCTCCACTGACGTAAGAGCTCTCGTGCATCCAACCAAACACCTTAACCTTTATTATCCAGAACTTGCCCATTCTGATATGTGTGTTTGTGTGCATTTGATCCATCAGGAGTATCTGGACCTGTCGGTGTCGTTTGAGCAGTACTCCCCTACCTGCCCAGACTCCAACAGCACCTGTTCCTCCGGCGACGACTCTGTGTTTGCTCACGACCCCTTACCTGACGAGCCGTGTCTCCCTAAACATCACCTCCACAGCAATGGGGTCATACGAACATAAGGGCCCAGGACAGAAATGGTGGTTTGTGGGGACCTTCCGGTTCACTGCACTGGACCAGCATGTGGCGGCAGTGCAGACGGGCTCCTAGTACAGTGTGGATGTCATGAAAAGCTCAACGAGAAGCTTCAGACTTCAAACTGTTCACTGGACTGAAGGACGGATTATACCCCTCTCCTTCAGCTCCTTTTCTTCCAAATTATTATTCAGATTATTGTCTTTGAAAAGAGAATTCCTATTTTTGTATTCGGCCAGTTTCGTTTTTCCTTTGCACGACACAGTCAGAAGGGTCAAACCATTCCGTGCCTACCAAAAAACAGACAAATTGATGTACAGGAAATAGAAAGAATGGATTGACACTGTGTAACAGCACAGTTCTGAAGCGACAGATAGAGTCGTCCTGTCACACATGGACAGGAAGTATTTTTACAGCAATATCTGACTGGAGTGAGAATCAAACCCATGGCCAGTCTCTCCTCTCCACTCCTCACAAAGAACATTTTTCATCCTTTTTTAATAAGAAAAGAGAGAAGGTTCTCCTAGATGTGAGATTTAATTAGAAGATATATAACTGTGTGCTTTGTATGTATCTTAAAGTTTTTATTGTAAATATATAGATATAAATATGTATCATATTGCAGTCGGTGGCAGTGTACTTAAAAAAAGAAAAGAATGACTTTTTTAGAGCAAGGGAGCATACACTGTTGAGATCATGTAAACATTTAATCTTAAAAAAGCAAAACAAAAGTTTTATTTGAATTAACATGTATATTTGTAAAGCTATTTATAGACGCAAGGTTTTTAAGGGGTCTAAAAATATAGTCGGGTTTTGGTACTGTAAACAAAGGGTTTTTTCTTTTCAATTTTGTAAGTTATTTACCACAGAAGTGCAAGATTTCAACCGGTGGGTTGTATTTTATTTTTGCTTGTTTTCTTCCATTTCTTAGTTTACAGTGACAAGAATGTATGAGAAACTAATTGGCGATATCAGCAGAGCAAAATTATGAAATTATGAATTCTAAACACGAAATAAGTACACCAGAAGTTGCTTTGCCCGTATTTCAGTATTGAATTTAATGATAAAAGGACCACAAGTGCTTCTGATTTTCATGAGGAAACTGCACCAGTGTCTATTTTTAACTCCAGTCAGACTCACACTTAAAGCACTTTTCCTCACTTTTGTATATTTAGAAAAAACAAATCTCCATATTTGGGCTTCCATGCATGAGTCATAAGCAGATCCGTTCACTACAGTATTTAAAAAAACAGTGTTGGTTTTCTCTGATTATGAGCGCTGTGGTCTTTTCATCCAGCTCTATGATATGAAGGAGTGCTATGTGGGTAAAACCTACCATAGCATATAGATATATGGTGAAACCATACTATGAGTTTGTCACTCTTATTTGCTCTTTTGCTAATGAATATGTATAATAACATTTTGAGGTAATCCTCCGGGTCGGTATGTTTGCAAAGTGCCAAAATCTTTCTCTCTGCTCTGAGTTTTATGTTAATGAGTACAGAACCGTTATTGCTATTCAACTCCAGTGTGCATGGTTGTCAGATGAGTGTCTCTGGCCCTGCGAATCTAAGCAAAGCATTATGGGATAGCTTGGTCGTGTCTCAGGGTGTCCTCAGACAATTACATTCAAGCAGAAAGCCGGCAATAATATATAATGGGGGAAAAAAGAGGATGATTCGCTTGCTGCTAAACTACGAAAACTGTAGATTTGATAGGAGATGACTGTACAGGTGCCAAGTGAAGCAGTCGCTCCCTCCTCCTGCAAACCATTGAATTTTTGTACTTGTCAAGTGCCTGGGAGGGAGCTGAGTGGCTGAATATTGCAACATACGGTTTGAATGTACGGCCACATCAATAAAAGATATAAGCAGGGTGTTTCTTCAAATGAGAAAGTAAATATGTGTAAGGCACTTTGTTACCTTGATTCTCAGATTGGGTTCTTAAAGATACAGATGACGTTGTTCTGTGATTTCTTCTTCCAGCTGAGGGACATCATGTTCTGTTGGAGACAGTGTTTTGAGTGTTTGTCCATTACGTGTGGAGTTGTTCGTTTACTGTTTGGTGTGGGATGGCAGGGCAAGCGATCACTCTCAGCTTCATTTTTTGTACAACCTGTAACCTCTGGCTCACTTCCGCATCCTCCGCTCTACTACTGACAGCCCTTTTGCATTGTTTCAAACATATCAAACAATGTTGCTGGTCCTTTCCCCTCCTTGTCACAAATCCACGTTATTTATTTCCTTGTATTTATGTTTCGTTTTTTTTTTTTTCTTTATCCGTTTGCTTTCATGACCTTCTCTTATTCAAAAGGACAGCATTCCTTCATGCTTGTGAGTTCTGGGATGGAGGTAGAGCCGAGATGCGTTTAGGGGTTGAAGAAAGTTTTCTTAAATGTTTACAATGAACATCCAGACAGTTTGAAAGGACAATGTGTTTCCCCAGCACTTTTAAAGTGGCTGGACGATGAGCAATACTGGTCTGATGTCAACACTCTTTCGTTTTACACATTTGTTCTTTTCCTCTTAAGCTCTATTTGATAGTGCCATTCAGCTCTTATTAGAATTAAGATATTAAATTAAGTTATAGATTTAAATTAGCAAATTATTGTTATATGTCGAGTAGATTTTATATAGGTGTTTTTGTTTTGTTTTAATAGGGATGAAAGCTTCTTTACAGTATTTTCTTACAGAAGAATTGCATTGCATTCCAGGTAGAACATCTTTCTTTATGCGGTGAGGTAACACGTTTGCAGAATTAAAGTCGTTCAGCATCTGCATCCCTCTCTGTTTAACAAAAGAATGGAATAGTTGACTAACAGTGTTTTGTTATTTTTCCATATCTCTGTATCTGTGGAACATTCCGTTCTGTTTCAGTTGTGCCCCTTCAGAGCTGTTAAACCTCTTTACACTCTATCAGCCTGTGCCTGACGGAATTATGCTGTCAATCAAAACCTTTTCAATAAACACAACAAAACCAGTGCTCGCCTGTCACGTTCTTTTTAAATCAATACTGGCCACACTCAGTATTTCAGTGTTATTATGCCAATAATTATCAAGGGTGGGAGAGAATTTGACAAGGATATCTAGAATTGAAATGCAATGAAATAAAGTACATTTTGAAACTCCAGAATCCTCAGTCATAATGCAGAATACTAGTGATGCACCAAAATTTCTGTAGGTAAAAATATTTGAATGACAACAAAGAAATTGTCCAAAATGGGTTTTGAAATGGCTGAAATCATTGACTGAATCAGTGACGTTTAAATAGTGCTTCACTCAAAAATAAATAAATAAATATATTGTTCAATTAACTTTTAGAAACATTAGGTTAGTACAAAAATAACAGAAGCTTATTAAACTTACTAAATTTAAGTTCCTGTGCCATACCAGCTAGCATACTAACTAGCAATGTATGTAATCTAGAATAAGCAAACATCAAAGCATAACACAAACTCTTCTAAATCTCTAACATAAGCAAACATTAAACACTAACAAGACTTTCTGTTTACTAAAGAGCATATGGGGGGGGGGGGGGGTCTAAATATCTAATGCAGTACCATGCAAAGCATGCTGGGAACTACAGACCCACTGTTCAGTACATTATGTCAACAAAAATGATTCATGTAGTCCCAACACAAAATGATCAAATTAACTTCCATTTTACAAATTTAAGTGGATTTAACATAATATTAATTAGTGACAAAATGTTCAAGAACTGTGTTAACATTTTTTTTAGTGTTCTCCAGTGGCACGTTTTGTGTCAGTGTCTGTGATCTCGTGCACACATCATGGATAAACTACGACAGGTAAACGTGTCAGCAGTGACACACTTTAGTGTGACCAAAAATTATGCTAGCAATATGTAAGATGTGTTCATATCGAGAGGTGTCTTTACTACAACTGAAAAACCCTGTTCAGTTACCATATTACCCAAATTCAATTACCGAACCGAACTGACATTGGTATGAAAAGAGAAACGGCACAAAATCATACAAACGACATGAAAGTAGTACTGTGATGCTACTCAGCAACTGAAAATTCATACATGGGACTATATTTAATTACTTTAAATAAACACAAAGAAACTGCAAGTAACAGAGCGAGAGAGAGAGAGAGAGAGAGAGAGAGGAGAAATTGGTGTAGAATCTACTTTGAAACTATTTTCACAAATGACTGCAATGAAACAGCAAGTAACATTAATATTAAACATGACATTTTAAGGCACAAAGACTGAAATAGTATTTTCTTGTAAAACCTAATCCAATACCATTTGTTTTATAATGTATACTGTATCATTTTGTGTGTGTGTGTGTGTGTGTGTGTGTGTGTGTGTGATTCAAAGCAATAATGTAATAGAATAATTAGTCATTATAATAGGAATAATGTTGTGCCACTGAGCTCTGAATAACACAAAAAATTTTCATCAGTTTTGGACTAGTACAAACTGTCACACAAATTGCACATGTGACTGTGAGTGTTTGTTTGCTGGAGTCCTGCAAGCTGAAAAACTCAAATATGTCCTGAAGGGGAACATCCTGCTTCCCCAGAGCTCTAAAGAGACTCATTCAGTGCCTTTAGAAGTGTGTGTGTGTGTGTGTGTGTGTGTGTGTGTGTGTGTGTGTGTGTGTGTGTCAGAGAGAGGGTGAGAGTGAATAAAATTTGTGTGTGTGTGTGTGTGTGTGTGTGTGTGTGTGTGTGTGTGTGTGTGTGTGTGTGTGTGTGCTCGTGTGCGTGGACTTTACTCTGCAGCTCAAGAGCTCCTTTCACAAATGTGTTTGAGAGAGCCAGGTCTAAATTGGTGTGTCTGATTCAGAGCTGTGTTTGCTCAGGGGGAGGCTTTGCATCCCTCATTCCTTTACATTTCTTTTTTCATTCTTGCAGGGTTCTCTGACTCCAGCAAGCCTCGATTTCTCTCGTTTTTCCTCCCTACATGTCATCTTTCACTGCTGTCACCCTATTACCAGGTTGTCCCACTGTGCAGTAGTTTGAATGTTATTGCTCAGGGTTCACTGGAAATCAGTCACCTCTTCAGTCAGACTCTTCAAAATCAGACGCTACATGG